GCCTGCTCCTGCATTTGGCCACAGGAGTTACTTTAAAGAAGATGGCACCACCTCTGGGGTAGGATAAATGGGGAAAGCCACCCAGCGAGACTGCATGGGGCTGGCTGGCCCAGCGCTGAGATGCATCTGGTTCTGGGGTGGGGCAGTTGGGGGAACAGCCGCACATAACACCACCTGGGGCTGACTCGCCTGGCACTGAGATGAAGCCAGCTCTGGGGCAGGGCAGCTGGGGGAACGGCCGCACATAACGCCACGTGGGGCTAGCTCACCCAGCCCTGAGATGCAGCCAGCTCTGGGGCAGGGTACCTGGGGGAACAGCCGCACATAACGCTGCGTGGGGCTGACTCGCCCGGCTCTGAGATGCAGCCAGCTCTGGGGCAGGGTACCTGGGGGAACAGCCGCACATAACGCTGCGTGGGGCTGACTCGCCCGGCTCTGAGATGCAGCCAGCTCTGGGGCAGGACACCCGGGGGAACGGCCGCACATAACGCCGCGTGGGGCTAGCTCACCCAGCCCTGAGATGCAGCCAGCTCTGGGGCAGGACACCCGGGGGAACGGCCGCACATAACGCCGCGTGGGGCTAGCTCACCCAGCCCTGAGATGCAGCCAGCTCTGGGGCAGGGCACCCGAGGGAACAGCCACACACAAGGCCGCGTGGGGCTAGCTCACCCGTATGAACCTTTGGTCTGATCCAGCTTGGGGTCAGAAACAGCTGCATATAACACTGTACGGGGAAGGCTCAGCTGGTGCTGGGAAGCAGCCACCTCTGTGGGGCACATGGGAAACAGCTGCTCGCCCTGGCTGACTTGCCCAGTGCTGAGATGCAGCCAGCTCTGGGGCAGGGCACCCGGGGGAACAGCCACAGATAACGCCGCGTGGGAGTGACAAGCCCGGCCCTGAGATGCAGCCAGCTCTGGGGCAGCACAGCTGGGAAACAGCTGCAACCCTCCTCTCCCCGCCCCCCACTGGGGTAAGGCCCCACATCTGGGGACAAGCCCTTCAGCTCAGGTCCAGAATCCCCCTCCTGGCCCTGCCATGGGCCCAGCGCACCACACCTGTGGGGGGAGGGAGTCACTTTTTGGATGCAGCCCCACCCCCTACCACAGGCTCCTCCCCTACTGAATGCTCCCTGGGCACTGGCCCCGCCTCTTGGATATGGGCTCCTCCCCCTGCTAGGCACAGGCCCCTCCCCTCCTCCCGCTCTGCCTTCTCCCGTTGCCGTGGCTGTCCTCCTCGCCCCTCTGAGCCCACATCGCCCCAGCCGGCTCCCGGACCAATCCGCTGCTCAGACAGAGCCGGC